TTTATGTTTCATATTATTCTCCTAGCTCGTATATGATTATTGTAAACACGTTATTTACTTACTTTCCTTTTTCTTCCTCTTTTTATTATTATTATTATTATTGTTACTTGTTTGTGTATCCTATTTCACGAGTATCCAACACGGTAGAATGACAGCTGATTATCTAGTAATACCTCAAAACTCCCCCATATCGGCACAGAACACATAATTCTGACGGATCCGTCAACGTCACATAGTCAGAGCCGTATTTTGTTTTGGTTTTTTGTATGCTACAGACGCATTTTGTACTTGCTAACAGCACTTTTATTAGAAAGGTTTATAGCATACAAAAAACAAAACGCTACAAACAAGTTTTACTACATTTAGACCCGGTTCATTATTGCCAATGATGAAGACTAACACAAAAATGTCACTTGCTGATCATCTGTTCACCTCAATAGACGTCAAAGCGTGATGGATACTAGTATGGCTAAACTTTGCCTCACTGATAATAATAATAATAATAATAATAATAATAATAATAATAATAATAATAGGCTTTTATTTTACCTGGCGGGTATCAGCTATGAAGTTGCTCTTACCACAAACCAGGGCTACACAAAAATACAGTGCAGATTAAATGAACGCACACTAACAGCACTCACTAAACACAGTAAAAGAAAGCTCGATACAAAAAAGGATGCATAGGTTAGTACAAGATATGTATTAACAGCCTGATACAACAAAGACACTTAAAATTTATTCAAAAATTGTAACAATGTTATCTAAAACGAATTACTTGACTTCCTTTGCAAAACTAAATTTGGAAAGTGTTTTTACACTTGATGGAAATCTATTGTATAAATTGGGTGCGATATAAGAAAATGACTTCCTAAATTGAGCAGTTTTATGATACAGTATGTCCAGGATGTAACCCACAAATCGCAGGTTAACGCAATGCTGTTCCCACCTCAAACTAAGCTTACTATTAAGATATATTGGCGTTTTTGTCATCAGTGTAGTGTGGACCAGTATCATTAAGTGAACCATCCATCTCTACCGCATCGCAAGCCAATTTATTTCTCTTAAATGATTAGAAATTCTCTCTCTTCTTGCTACACCTAGAGAATACCTAACACAACTACTTTGAACCTTTTGATTCCTGTACGTCTCAGCCTGTGTCAGGCATGGACCAAAAACCGAATCACCATATTGCAGTTTACTCAAAATCAGAGCGTCAGAGAATCTAATTTTCATTTTTCGTGGTAGAACAGATTTATAACTGTAAAGTGTTTTAAGTTTCGTGTAAGAGTTCTGAACGATTTTTGTGACATGATCGTGGAACGTTAGATATTCATCAAATATGATCCCCAAATTGCGTACTGTCGATTTTTGACTAGTGTTTCATTTTCGGTACAAAGATTCATTAGATTACTATCAAAATTACTGTGTTTGGATTTGAACGTAATGACAGCAGACCTTTTCGAGTTAATGCATAGGCCGTGGTTCTCGAACCAGATACATAAGTCGTTTAAATCGGCAGCTAACATTCTGTTTGCTTCGATATACGCGGAGGGATGGAGTGAATGAACCAGGTAACTGCTTCATGCGAAAATCCAAAGTAATGTAACTTTGCTAGAAGCATTCTATGATTCAAACAGTCAAATGCTTTACTCAAATCAATAAAAACAGCTGTTGTTACACAAGAACCATCAATAGCGCTCAGATAGTCGTCGCAAAGATCAGTTAAAACTGTGGAGCGACGCTGTCGGAAGGAGAATTTCGAGGTCGACAACTCATAGAGAGGCCCACAAACTGGGATTTAGCACTTGCAAGGTAAGTTTTTTTATAAAAAAAGTGAAGTAAAAACCATAAAGTTGCACATCTTGTTTATAGGCCAAAGAAAAGCCACTATTAACTCCACTGCAAAAGAAAAATCGGCACAGATGGGCTAAAGGACATAGACAATGGACACCTCAACAATGGTGTGAAATGCAATGGAGTGATGAGGCCCGATTCGAAGTTTGTATTGGTGACAGTTGCAGTAGAGTTATCGCAAAAAAAATGAAGTATTCGATGTTGACTGTCTGAAGAGAAAAGTGAAATTTCCAGCATCCATTATAGTCCGGGACAGCATGTCATCAAAAGGAGTAGGACAACTTCGTTTTATTGATGGAAATGTTGATACAAACAAATATTTGGCAATTTTAGAAGGATCGCTCTTACCAGTGATGGAAGAATGTTTGACATCCAGCCAAGATTTTGTGTTTCAGAAAGATGGTGCAGCGTGCCATACCTCAAAAAAGACTATAAAGTGGATGGAAGAAAATAGTGTACCACTTTTGGAATGGGTTTCTAGCAGTCCAGATCTGTCACCTATTGAAACTTTGTGGCACGAGATGAAAAAGGTTCTACGACAACATCCTGCTCGTACAGTCACCGAACTGAGACAAAAGCTTCAAGAAATATGGGATTGTTTTACACCAAATTTTTGCCAAAACTTGGTTAACACTCTGCCCCAAAGAATTTCAGGTCGTAATAAAAAAGAAAGGTGATTTTACCCAATGGTAATCTTTCAATTGTTGCTTTGTTAACTTCGCGCATTTACTCGCACATTGTTTATTTGTTCAGATGTTCTATTAGTTATAGGTTTAAGTGATTTCAAATATGTATTTTTTACTATTAGAGTTTATCTAAAAGGTTTTTGAGAAAATAAATTGTTTTAGAGGTTTGGAAGTAAATAGTTTAATTTATTAAGGCATATTTTGGTACAAATCTTGAAGTGGGCCAACTGAAGCGGGAAGGGGCTCGTATGTACTCTCGTCATCTTCTCAGGCACAGCATTTACGAAAAAGTCATTTAATGAATCCGCTCCGATTGAATTTACAAATCCATCATTGCTATGTGTCCCATGAATGCCGAGTTGTTTGATTGACTTCCAGCAGTCCCGAGAAGACTTACCTATCTTGAGCTTTTTTTTTCGTCTTATAGAAGCAGTTACCAGGTTCCGTAGCTGTTTATAATATATCCACTTGTTATTAATTTCATCCGAAGGACACATGCTTTTTACGACTTTTTTGTACCTTGAATAAGCTTTGTTCCTTAACCATATCATAAATTTGATGCTTGACGTAATCCAGGGAAGACGAACTTTACTGATATTTTTCGTTTTATAAGGAGCACATCGCCAAGGTGAACCACTCATAGCCAATATAACACAGAGAAGCAACTTCAACCAGCAGAACTTTATGTGGCATCTTCGTCAGTACTGAGATGATAGATCTCTGAACAACGTAGTCCTGTCTTCACATACATAGCAACCCCTCCACCTCTTTTGCCAAATCTGTATCTGTCTGATCTAAAAAATTGATATCCAGGAATGTGAACATTGCTACTATCAACGCTAGGTTTCAGTCAGGTCTCTGCTAAGCCAATAATAATGTCATAATGTTGTGTTAGTATGTACTCTCTGATATCAGCGAACGAGCTAATTAACGATCTGACATTCAAACACCCAATCAACAAATTGTGCTCTTCGTTTTCGATAACATCATATTCAGACAGAAAAGTCATTATGAAATTTTCAATCACAAATAAGATATATAAAGAAGTACAGTAGTGTCTGGTAGTAGAAGTAGTTTAATAAAGTACAGTCGAGAAACTGCAACAAAAACTTAGGATAAAAGTGTAAATAATGTATGTGTATTATTATTAATAACCTTTACAAAACAATGTAGGTCTGATGGGCTTGGATTACAATTCAAGATATTGAATACTCAAAGGATCGCAATAGAAGTATACTATGTATTATCTTACGGTGCAGTTCCGTTTGCGTATGTTCTGCTGCAGTCTCCGAGATCCGGAAAGTAATCGTTTATGCAGCAATCAACATGATTTACTGGCAGTAAACCCATGGCCTACGAGGCAATATTTCCAAGGAGGCTAACAAGTTTTGTATGTAGAAAGCACTATTTGTTCCAGGGTTAAGGAGAACAGATGTTGTTAGCGGTTATGTATGATACATACAGCAAGTGGCCTAGGAGCTATAGTTGCTATACTACTGTAACTTGAATTAGCTTTATTGCTCTTTCGATATTTCTTCGGTATCTTTTGCTCAGAATGAAGTCTAGACTAGTTCTTGAGAAATGCAATATTGTTTTCTATTTATTCTTGCAAATACAGTTTGTGCAATATCAATAAAATTTTGAGCACTTGTGAAAATATAGTAAACGTTTCATAAATGTAACATGCCGAACGTTAAAAATGCATGCTGTTATTTGTTCGCTACGTGGATAACAAATACGATGGCGATATGAATCGAAAATATGGTCACCACGTGAAGCTCCCCTTTACGATAAAACAAGACTTGCAAGATTCATAACCAAAAAACTGTATATACAGAGATTCGAATCTACGCATTGTAGAGTGTCTGACCGAATATTGAACCATTTCACTTTCACATATATCCGCTTATTTCTTGCTACCCTTTAATATTTAATATTGTATCCAATTGTGCGAATAAACTGCGATACATACTGTATACTAATCATAGCTCGCCAAAACGGACGAGTTGACACGTTTTCCTTCCTATAATTTTCACGAGATGAATGCAACTTGACTAGATAGACGAACGCTAACGAAGAGCGTTGAGCACGATAAATAAAGGCTGACATTCATGGTCAGTCCAAATCCGCTTTACGTCACGGTACTCCATTTTTCAGCAGTATCAAAGAAAGAGACTAAACCAACGACGATAAAAAGACATAGACATATTAGGGAATTGCAATGTTGCCATTCACTCGCTGATACAATTGGTAAACTGGTAGTAAACAAACCTAAAACAAACGTTTAATCACAAAAACCAGCTGTTTGGACTCATGAAAACATAAAACTTTTAACATTCTTGAAAATCTGTATAAGCAATAGTGAAAAGTGGGATAGTATGAACTTTTTTTGTATTGAATTTACCGTCAGCAGATGAAAAGGATTTCCTTGAGTCAGAGCCTCAGTCGACATCTGGCAACGTCAAATTTTTCTTATGAATGGCCATTTTACTATAGTGTGGAGTGCGTATTTCGTGTTTGAGTTGTGCATTCTTACACATCATTGTTTTTGTGCTATGTTTGTTAGTGTTGTTGAACTGTGATCTTCTGAACCATGGTGAGATCCTGTTATGTGTGCAAAATAAACAGCAATAATCCACAATCGGCTAATTTATCATTCCATCGGTAAGTAAGGTTATGTGTACATAACATGGGCGTAGCAATCCATATTTTACTGTAGGTATGAATTATCATAAAATAGTATTTTACCATCATTTTAGCAGCTTTTTGTAGCTTCCTGACGCGTTTATATAAATATATATCCATCACTAGCAGTATGATAAAATTTGATGTTCTGGGTGTAGCACATCAAGTACAAAAATATCCACATAATCACAATCTTGAAAATAAAGTAACTAAACGTGAACTTTGCCATGTTATGATCAGACTTTCATGCTAGCTAGTTTATAATCATTAGACAGATAATTCGTGTAAGAATCAATGGTGTAAGACATGTGTTTACAATTTTGGACTCCCATCTGACCCAGCGAAGCACATTATATGGATTTCACTGCTTGGCATTGACAGGGAGAAAACGTTGCCGAAATTGACACTGATATGCAGCAAACATTTTTATGACAAGGACTTCGAAAATGCTGGAAGAAAGCTTTGGAAGGATGGTGCTGACCCAGTAGATGTTCACTCCATACATGATGAACAGAAGTATGCAAGGTAAATACATTCATTATTTTATTGAGTTTTTTTGACATGCTATTAATAGCATACAGATACTTTTGCCCTATATATCCATATTGATGAATATTTACTCAACGGATTACACATACAGCAACGCTTACTCCATCAAAGGAATCATGCTCAAAAGCCCATAGCAGTCAAGGAAGCCCTGTCCGAAAGCGGTGAGTAGAGTTCTATACTGACTTGAACTATTCTCATATAATAAGTTTATACTAAATATCAAAATAGATGGATTGGTACAATAAAATAAGTCAGTGTCTGTGTGCTTCAAGTGTGCAATAAATGTATTACGTACATTCAAGTACATTACCACAAAATTATTGTGAAAACTTATCTTGATAGCATCATGTGTATGTGAAAGGATTTTGGTTGTTTACATGTGTTGTGTCCAGTATTTTTAAATACCTTTCATTTTCGATTGAGCATGGAAGAATTAGCTATACCAGGGCCTTCTCATGTGGTGTAAGTATCCTCTTGATTATTTTACGTACTCATGTGGAAAACATTTTAGCTCAAATCCCATTCCTTTTCCTGATGACGCTTCTAAGATGGTAGAGCCTCTAGAAATTGTGCAATCATTCACATCATCTAGTACTGGAACAGCTTCTAAACAGGAGTAGGAGACAACACGATTGGCAATTGGAGGAAATATCACCATACAAAAAGTCAAACCGCCATGTAAGAGAAGGTATTTAAGTGATACAAGCACTTATTCCTTACTAGCTATTTTGTATCAAGATAAATAATGATATATAATATTATTTAGTGAATAAAGTATATAGTTTACACATTTATCCTTTTCAGGCTAAAACGTTATGTTGGAGATTTATTAAGCGATGACTTTTCCACTCCCATAAAAGCAAAGTCGGTTGATGAAAACTTCCCTGATGAGATTGGGAAAAAAGTAAAAAGTCTCCAAACATTGTTGGTCCTTTGCCGAGAAGAATAAAAACTCTAAGTGGTTTATTGAAACTTTTGAAGCAGAAGATGCACATAACAGATTCAGCTGAAACTGTATTGAAGGTAAGCAGATTGATGAAAACTCTGTGTCCCAGATATCCGTATTCATTTGTTTGGTGCAATTGATTAACTTTTTTTCAATATAATAATTTTCATCAACACTTAGCATACCATAACTGGTCAAAATACCATTGAAAATAATCATATCATCTTATCACTTTTGCACATAAAGCTTTATTATTTTTTTCTATTAATTATAGCAGTTGATATTCTTTTTTTTATTAGTATTTTGTTTATTTTGACCAATACTTGTTACAGAAAGTAGACATATTGTCATCTACCCCAGCAGGTCATTAGACTGGTTATGGTAGATTCAGAATTAAGTATGGGTATGTTCAGTGTCAATATCTTAGTTTCAATAAGAATATCAAATGCCTCTTAGATATCCTAATTAATAGTACTATACAAACAATATCACCACAAATTATGGGTTATTTTAATGATCACCTTATTGATGGACACTGTATATTTTTAATAAAACTTGCTTTGAAAAAGTATTTTTCGCTCAGAATTCACAAACTGTTAAAAAATCTGATAGTTCAACGAAAAATAGAATTAGTGTATATACAAAGGCAGTATTATTTCGTCATCCATAATATTATCTTTCTGTTATAGGTTGACAATTACGTGATGCTAATTTTAATTGACATTTATCTTTTAACCTTGCACTACCAGTGCTACTCATCATGTAGTTGTTACCACACGTTAATAATAATAAGCTCTTTTTAAGGGGTTACAGCTGTTTTTTGCAGTATTAATCCCAATTCAGCGCAATAAGTATAAATGGCGGTGATGGAGTCACGTAACAGTGGGGATACCACTGGTACTCTAGGATTAATAAGCTATTCCGTTGATGTCTTTAATTTATTAATGTTAATTATACTTTTCCAATTTTTAGTAAAGATATCTATATGACAATCATTTTTTTCTTGAATTCTGCTGGCTCTGTGCTCTTATTAACATTGATACAGCTGTACTAATGAAAGGTAGGTTTGCATTTCATTATTTATTCTACAAACATGCTATTTTATTCTGTGATAGTATGAACAATTCATTTGAATGAGATGTTATTTCATTGCAGTATACCTCATACCCTTACATTCATTGTAATGTTTAAAAAAATTTGCAAACCGCACGAAAATAGTTTTCAAACACGCGTTCCTTTACCCCGCCCTTGATACACGCATGCTAGTTGACAGCTGTCAGTTCCGTTCTCCCAGCGGCAGACTTTTTTTGTTGTTTATCTTGTCAATATTCAGAAACACATTTTATGAATGAATGTAAAGGTTTATGTTTTTTGATCGTCGTTGGACTAAACCAAAACAGTGATCATCGCGTGATCATTGCGTGATACATTTCAAGAGAGAGGGAGCATAACTGTTATTGGGAAGAATAGGTCGAGCCCTTACACAAAATGACGAAACAGAGTGTGCAGTGGGAGACGATACGACCGTGCATGCCGACTGTCCCGGTGGCTCGCCGTACAGTACAGATTTGGCATCAGATTTATACTGGTATTACTGTGTGCTTATTAGATTTGTCAGTTTAAATTCATAGAACTCAAAATATCTGATACGGATACAGCTGATGAAGTTGTTGATATAAGCGGTGTGCCTAAGAAAAGAGCTAAAATGCCAGCGTGAGCGAAAAACAAAGAATTATCAATATTTATAAACGCGAAATGCAAAGGAGTGACTCAAGTGGTCAGGACATTGTTTGCAAAGTATCAAGTATATCGGGCGGTAGTCGTGCAAGTGTTTACCGAATTGTTCGGGAGTACAGATCTAACCATTCACTGGTCGACCCAAAAAAGTATCCGCCAAGAAAAAAAATCAAGGATGCCATAGATGACTTCGACGGAACCGCCATAATGAGAATTGAACATATTTTTTTCTTTCGTAATGAACGGCGGATAAGGTGCTGAAGCTGGTTAACGAGGATAACGACTTGCCAAGTTTCAAGAGATCTACCTTCCATAAATCATTAAAAGAAATGAGGTTTCAATACAAAACGCGGGAAAGAAACAGTCTTTAATTGGAAAAAGACGAAATAATTATTTAGAGAATGGACTATCTAAGACAAATCAGAAAATTTCGTGCAGAAGGTAGGAAAATATACTACCTAGATGGAACATGGATCAACGCTGGACATACACAGGCGAAGGTATGGATGGATTCTTCCATAAAAGCTTCAAAGCAAGCTTTCTTGAATGGACTGTCCACTGGATTGAAAAATCCCTCAGGTAATATTTTAAAACACGTACGTAGGTGTTTCTGGTATGATTTCGCTGACACCTCCATATTTTTTAATACTTGTAAGACAAGGAATTTCAACTGAAGTTATATTTTATTTTTGTTTTTGTACATGCTTAAACTATATCGAGATAAGAAATCAAGTAATCATTTTACTAGATTTTTAATGCTTTCAATGGGAGCAGCTTTTAGGTGTCCAAAATTAATTATTTTTAGGAAAAGGGCGGCGTTTGATTATTTGCCACATTGGTAATGAAGATAGACTTGTATTCTATGCTTTATAGGTATTTGAATCCAAAAAAAAACGAGAGACTACCATGAAGAAATGGATGGAGCCTCGTTGGAAAGTTGGTTCTCAAATACTCTCCCGAAGCTTGAAGATAATTCGGTTATACTATTGGATAATGCTTCATACCATACGAGAAACTTCGTCAAAAAAATCAGAAATTCAAGGACAGCTTGAAAATAAAAAGATTGATTATGATGATACAATGGTTAAGGCAGAATTGTTACCAATTGTCAAGACGTATAAAAATAAATATAACCTGAACATAATCGATGAAATGGCCAAAAAACAAAATAAAACTGTTTTACGACTGCCTCCTTAGCATTGTGAGCTCAATTCGATTGAGCTCATTTGGGCAGACATAAAAAAATATGTTGCAGCAGAAAATAAAAGTTTTAAATTTTTTATGCTGCTATTCAGAATGTAAAAGAAAAGGTCGATCCTAAAATGTCTGAATTAGACGGTATCATTGATACGTAGGTTGCCCCTTCAATCATAAATCATGATGACAGTGGGAGTTCCACGGCCTCGGATATGGAATGATTCTCATTTTCAAATGCATGTATTTCCAGTTTTAGAGGTAAAATGTCTGTGCAATAAATTTTTGTATATCTAGTATATATTCAAATCCTTTTCCTTTCAACCCCACCTATGTGTTCATTTTTTAGTCTAATATTTGAATTAATTGTTTGCCCACTGACGTCCCTGTTCAAGCGGTGGTTAGGTATACTTGTACGCATATGCAATTATCGTTTTAATGTATAAAGACATTTTTTAAAAGCCTGCTTTATAAATGCGCCTTACGACACATTTTGAGTATAATTTCTTGATAAAACACTTCTACTAAAAATAACAATAGACAGTTGTTTTTTTTTTTGGTCAGGACAGTTAAATTAAAAAAATATATATCACTTCCAAGCTTTATTGATCGTGTCGTAAAATCACACAATTTATTCTTAGTATGGCCCTGTAACGTGCTCGGCGATCTGGAGCGCGATCACGTGGTGTATACGTGAATATGTTTAGGTTTGGTCTCTTTCTCCGATAGTTACATACTAGTATAGAACAATCCAACGCCCAATGAAACGATACCCGGCGAATTTCATACTTACTGAATCGTCGCACAGTGACCACATGTAACTGTTTGCACTTGTTAAAAGTTCTTTTTTGTGGATGCGTCGTTCATTCGTTGAAATTGATATCGAGCTGCAGTGTAGTAGAATAAGTTATTCAAACGTCGTTCCTCTACAGCAACCGCCTTGTAAGCCATCGTCAACGCAGCGCCCCGCTCTTTGCGTTTTTAGCGCTTTGCTTTTAGCATATCACTTAGGCCAAATTACACTATGTAACAGCCGGGATTAACATATGCGCCTACGGCACTAATTCGACCAAACAGACGGCATTTTTGGAGTAGCAAATGGATATAGCCGATTCCATGTAAAACATCTCTCAAATTAGAGAAATTAGAAATTATACGGTTTGTGCAAGATGGGCCTCCAGTTCTCACAGCGAATAAAAAATTTGCCATAAGGCACCTGACAGCCACCGAATCCTAATTTTTTATAATATTATCCTAGGGACAAACTTTGTTCCCCGGATAGTAAAACCGTGCCTTATAGTTCAGAATTGTTAATGATAGACATATTCCTCCAAAAAAGGTGAAAGCTTTGAATTCTAGACTGAAAAGATTGTTTTCACGGAAATAAAAAATGCTCGTCATGAATAAACCTGCTCTAAGTAACAAAGGTATCCCCTGATTAATCCAGTCGTTAAATCCAGGGATGTCTAAATACATTTTGTAGATCCCACTAATGGTATGATTGCATGACGGCGAGAATTTTCTGGTAATGGTCTCGTGGAAACATTGTATAATTAATTTTTCGTAATTCTATGTAGGAGTACGAATATGGGTATGGAAGAATAAAATAGCTCGACGTAAAAATTGCAGACGAAGTACAACCAGGTGTGATAATACTTATTTAAAAAAAATTGTGGAATGCCCAGTTGGTAGAGTAATGCTGCTAATAAAGATATAAAAAATGAGTTTTGTAAATGATATATATTTAATTCGAAGGAACTTGGTGCCCTAGAAACAGATATATCAGCAACGTCGTTTGTACCTTTGCTGCTTGCTGGGCTTCTGGGATGACCACTAATTTACTTGCGTAATGGTAGTATTCTACGTACAGTATTAAATTCACCTCAAATAATATCACTTTATTACGCCCAGGACAAATCTCGACTCCCTCGTGGAATTTGCTTATGGGGTAGTTCTGCCCATGGTTTGGATGTTTTCATTGCGCAGAAGAAGATTGTTAGAAGTATTGTTGGTATCCCTAACAGTGAGTCATGTTTGAGCGGTTTTAAAATTTTAAAAATTTTACCTCTCACGTGCCTATATATTTTACAGTTGTGTTCATACGTGTTTGAATATAAAGACAGATTTCCACGATTTAAATACAAGACAAACAATTTCATTGCTAGTTCCATTTGCCATATGTAATAGAGGAAAAGGTCCGAATATGGGCTCTGCATTTAATATGGGCCCCCTCGATATCGCAGCCGCCCAAGTAGCGACGTCTATCAATTTTGCCTTAAAATACTCGGTTTTGGTGAAAAACGTTTTCTATAATCCCGCTCAGTGACTTACGGGTTTGCAACCGAGGATAGGGTTGATGTTTTGTTTGTGAAAATTCCACAGTTTTTTAAGGCAATCTTTGAATTTTAGTTTTAATAGGAAATAGCATAAATATAACTGCTTATATTATCAAGGTAGGTTCTTTATATCTTGAAATTTGACGTCTTGAACTGATATTAAATTACCTAACCTAGATTTTTTTTTGATTTTGTGTTTTGAAATGTGCAATGTTGCTAGTTGCCCTTTTGATGTCGGTAATATGGGCCCGGGCCTGATATAGATATATTTTAGAAATGGAAGCCCTCTATTATGGACTTACAAAAAAAGATATTAGTTGGTT